CTGGCTGGCTGGCTGGCTGGCTGGCGGGCTCCTCCAGGACAGAGAGCACTTTTCTTCTTCTTGCCGCGTTCTTCCAGGGCGGCGCGTTCAGAACTTGCAATTTTCTCAAAGGGCCCACCCTCAAGCCAATTTTCAAATCGCCGGCGCGGACCAATAGAAAATTTGCGACGCCTGAATAGAGAGGCAGGCAGGGACCTGGGTGCTGCTCTCGTCCGGAAGAGCCAAGACGCGCTCACTCAGAGAAGGCACTCTACGCTGCCAGCTTGTTCTCACTCGTAACGTCGGACGACACATGCTCGACTCTTCAAATGGCTCATGGTTCATGGTGGCTGCATTTCCCTTGTGTTCCGAGTATGAAGGTGCGCATCACTGGTATCCTCTGCCGTCGAAAAAGTTGTTCGCGGGCTGTTGCTGTTGGTGTTGCTGTTGGTGATGCGTGGGTGCGCCTGGCTGGTGCATGCGCACATTGCCGCTGTTGACGAGCGGGCTGAGGTGCGACTGATGCCTTTGATCATCCAAGAGACCCGAGCTCGACGCGCTCAATCCAGTCTGACCGGGGTCCGACGAGAGGTAGTTCGAGTTGTGATGGTGGCCGTGGTGTCCGTACTGCTGGTGATGCGAGAGCGCCTGCTGGGTCGCCGTGTTGGCATAGTTCGACTGCCCGAAGAGCGAGGCGCCCGGCGCAGCCGTCTGGCTGGCCCAGGCGTTATGTGTGTGGTCCTGCTGCTGCGCGGCCTGGTGCGCGGTGTGGTGCTGTTGGGTCTGCGCCTGGGTTTGCTGTGTATGCTGCATGTGCTGGTTGTGCGGCGCGTGATGTCGTGATGCCTGCATGGCGTCGGACGACGTGGTCGAGGCAATGGTGCTCGAGTCATTGTTGTAGCCGCCAGAGTAATCTGCCAGCGTCGTGCTCCTGCCGCTATGCGCAGCTTCGAGTCCGGCCGACGAGAGCGAGCCCTGCTGAGTCTGCAAAGACGACGTGTTGTTCTCGTCACTTCCACCGGGTCCGAGCATCGAGGCGCGCTGGTTGGGAGCCTGCCGGAAGCGCGTAGGTGTGTCGTCGAGCTCGGCCTGGTCCGCCTTGCGTCGATTGGCCGCCTTGGCATTCTTGCTGGCAGCGGCTCCGTTGCCTGCCCCTCCACCTGTCGCCTTGCGAAGCGAAGAGATACTCATGTCACTGCCGCGCAGGCTTCGATCTGCATCGGCCAGCGCAGAGGAGGAGCTGCTGGCGCTGAGTCCGAGCATGCTCGTGCTCCTGTCCATGGTGGTGCGTGGCGTGCTCTCGTTGGGTACGTGACTGGCACGCGCCTCCTTTTTGCGGTGAAGGTTGGCCTCGTCGATGGCATTGTCGATGATCTGCTGCAGTAGCTGCCTCGACTTCCAATGGTCCTCGCAGTCGCCGAGCTCGGGATGATCGTGCTCGAGTCGGTTGATCGTGGCCTTGACTCGGTCCTCGGGCTGTTTGGCAAGGCGCACTTCTTGGAGGAGCCATTCTTGGTAGAGCTTGCGACCGGTCTTGCGCACGCTGAGGTACTGCTCGGGCCTGATCTCGAGGAACTCTTTGAGCGGCAGACGGCCGAGCGTGGCCATGGACCTCTTGGTCTGGTCGCGATGGGCGCGTCTTGCGGCCTGCATGGTGCGGTACTTGATGGGGCGGGACTGGTAGCCGGGCGGAGCGTGCCATGTGCGGTTGAGCCAAGCCTTCCAGTCGCCGAGCGATGTGTCGGCGGTTGCCTTGCGTGCGCTATCCGCAACGCCTTGTGCGGCGGTAGAGAGGCGCTTGGCGTTGGCGGACGCCTGGTGATCGGGGGGCGACACGTCGGTCGACATGTCCAAGGGGTCGTCTGGGAAGACTGGGCTGGGCAGACGGCTTTTGAGCAGATCGTTGGCATCGTGCGTGGCATCTGCCGGCTGCTGCTGCTGCTGTTGTGCTGAAGATGGTTGCTGCATAGTATGTTGCTGAGGCTGCAGGTGGTGCTGCTGCTGTTGCGGCACCTGTTGCTGCTGATGTTGTGGTTGTGGTTGTTGCTGCTGTTGCTGCTGCTGCTGCTGAGATGAGAGCTGTGTGGCGCGGCCGGCAGCGGCGGAGAGGCTGTTGTTCATGGTGGTGTTGGTGGGAGGCGAAGCGCCCCTGAGCGTGCTTCCAAACGTCCTGTCCAGAGTGGAGCCGACGGGGTCAAGGGTGGTGCGGAAGCTGCTGGTGTTGGATGCGTTTGGATAGAACGCACCCTGGCGTGTCTCGGTGCGTGGGGCGTTTGTGGGTGGATTGGTGACCATGTTGTTGAGGCCAAAGGACGAGGTCTGTGCGCCATTGACACGCGTACGATTGAGGTCGACGTTGCTGGTGGCGGGGCTGGCGTCTTGGCGTAATGTTTGGGTGCCGAGCGTAGCTGGCGCCAGAGTGGAGCTGGAGGGGGCGTTGGCGGTGCGTGCGTTGCTGTCGTTGGCGGCGAGTGTCATCTGGGAAATCTCGATGAGGCGCGAGGTGAGGGAGACGAGCGATGCGAGCTGAGTGCCCATGACGGAGAGCTGGTTGGTGACTTGCGCGCTCATCGAGTTGATGGCTTGGACGACGTCTGCGTTGGAAGGCAGCGTCGAGTTGGGCTGTGGGATGAGGGAGGAAGCCATCTGCGGTGTCTGGGATTGCGGCTGCATGTCCTGCTGCGCGGCGTTGCTGAGGCGGGGCGCCATGCGCAGGTCTACGTTGGCTGAGAGGCGGTTGAGCGGAGGAGAAGGCGACCATCGTGGATGAGCCTGCGGGGCGTAGCCGTGGTAGTCTTGTCTCGAGAGACGCGACATGGTGGCCAGAGCAGGCGGCGTGCTCGAGGCAGCCGGAAGGTGTCTGTTGGACGCGCAGGAGAAGGAGGTGGGAAGCCAGCCGAGCTACGCCTCGAGAGGGTGTGCGGTAAAGACGCAGTCGCGGTTGGGACGGCGGCGGCGGGACGCGACGGACGATGGCGCGTCCAGATGGATGCACGAGCTGAGCAGTGCCGAGGCCGCGATGTGGATTCCGGTCTATGGTGGCGCGCGTGCAGTGGATACGAGCCGGAGAAGGATGATTGTGTGTGGCTATGGGCGATGGGTGAATGGCAAGAGCACCGAGCGAAGTGTGCAGGAGGATGTCTAGAGCCACTTCTGAGTTACTGCGACAATCGCGTCAAGGGCGTGGAGATATCCTGGGTCGCTGGGTGGGGTTGGTCGCTTGGTCCGGTTTGGATGGCTGGGTGGGTGGTGCAACCTGGTCAAGGCGTCCTCAACTTGGCGCGCCTCGAGCCGGCTGTGCGAGCAGTGCTGCTGCTGAACCACAGCCATCGCTCACTCGCAAAAGAAAAGCGACTACAGCCCTGCTTAGCCTTTGCAACGCTCATCAGACGCGTCTGGGTTTCGGGCCCAGTAGTCTTGCCTCGTGCGTCGTCGGTTGGCGTCACTGGCCTGGCGCCGGATTCCCTTTCTTTCGCCCGCCAGCCAAGCCGCATCTCTTCCACAGGCTCATGATCTCGGCGGCAAATTCCACTCGGTGCGAGCCCAAACTTCGTTCTTGGGAACGGTGAGCTCAGCGCGATGCTGTGTCCAACAGACCCGTGAGCAAAGGTGCAGGCGCAGTGTGTTCCTGATCAAAGGCACCCAAAACCAGAGCCGCTTTCAAAGCTGAAAACCCGGGTCCCCCTCGCGTGAGAGCCGCGTCGGACATGTTCGAATCTGAACGACCTAACAGATAGTACATTTTCGCCCCGGGTATCTGCATGCATGATGGGCCCGCTTTTGGTTTTGGCGCTGCTTTGTGTGTGGAGGTCAAAAGCCAGAGGTGACGCGCCAGGCTGGTGGTGGTGGTGCTTTATCAGCTAATCGTCCCAGCAAGTCCGCCTTCTCGAGCTGGTATCCAGGACGAACCTCGGTCTTTCCTCGTAGCGCACCACCAACATCGACCGTAGCATGGAAGCTTGCACATCAACGGCGTCTACCTTGCAACACCAAGGTTAAGTGGACCGAACCATCTCCGGCGCCCATCACCGGTGCGTGCCTCTTCATCAAGATGGCGGCGACCATCAGGCCGCAGCTAGGCTGCTTCCTGACCCACCCCATGCCTCTCACAGCTAGGGTGGCGCAGCCATGGCGGAAGGATCGCATCCTTAGTAGACGCCAGCATCCGGCAGCTGCTTCGCTGCTGAGCTCGGGTGCCGTTCGGACCATCCGCATCGGGAGTTCCGCGACTCAGCCAGAGATCGCCATCTCCGATATCCTCGCCAGCGCAGCCAAGGCAAAAGGCATCAAGGCCCCGCTGCCATCTTCCCTCACCCGCGTCGTTCGCTCAGAGCCGCCCGCTCGCCGTTCCTGGATTCGCTTCTCTGCCCTACAGAAGCGTCCAGCCTCATCAACTACCGGCCCGAACAACGGCGGCGGTCCCAACAAGAACAACAAGAGTCCCTCTCGCTGGTGGAAGCGATCTGGCATTCTGCTTGCTACTGTAGGTGTAGCATACCTCTTCGACGAGCACGTGAATGCGCGCACCGCCCAGCGCAACCTCTTGACCGCCTGGACGGGCGTGCAGATCGCCATGGACTACAAGCTCAATTTTGACCGAAACTCGCTCGAATCCATCAACGCGCTGCACGAGCGCTGCGCAGACAAGCTCATGTATGTCTGCGAGAAGAACCAGGGCCTCTACGTCAAGCTCGGTCAGGCCATCGGCTGCCAAGCTGCCATCCTGCCCAAGCCGTACCACCAGCTCACGAAGCTCTTCGATCAGGCGGAACGCCTGCCGTACGAAGAGGTGCGCAAGGTTCTCATCGCCGAGCTCGGCGCGGACCCGAAGGAGGTCTTCGCCGAATTCAACGAGGTACCCGTGGCCGCTGCGAGTGTGGCCCAGGTGCACAAGGCGCGTCTCAAGCCGGCGCCCGACGCACCACCGGGCACGCTCGGGCCCGAGGTGGCGGTCAAGGTGCAGCGACCCAACATCCGCAAGTACGCAAAGTGGGATCTGCGGTCGTTCCGCATCCTGCTCAAGCTGTACGAGCGCATCTTTGAGCTGCCGCTCTCGTTCTCGGGCCAGTACATCTCGGACCAGATCGAACAGGAGACGTTCTTTCAACGCGAGCTTGCCAACTCTCTGCGCGCCAAGCATGCCATCGAGACGGATCCGGAGGCGGTGGTGCGCAAGACGTGCTACGTGCCCAAGTTCTACGAGGACATGTGCACGCAGCGCGTGCTCGTCATGGAGTGGATCGGCGGCACGTGCCGCATGACCGACCGCGAAAAGCTGGACGAGATGGGGCTGTCCGCCAAGCAGGTCTCGCGCTCCGTGTGCGAGGCTTTTGCCAGCCAGATCTTCCAGCACGGCTTCGTGCAGGCCGATGGCCATCCGTCCAACGTGCTGGTTCGTCAGCATCCCAACGGCAAAAAGGGCCAGCACCAGGTGGTTCTCATCGACCACGGGCTGTACGTCGAGCTGAGCGAAGAGTTCCGGCGCAAGTACGCCCAGCTGTGGAAGGCGATTTTCACGCTCGACCTCAAGACGCTCGACGAGATCACGGTGAGCTGGGGCATGGGTGAAGGGTCGTCGGAGCTGTTTGCGTCGGCGACACTGTTGCGGCCGTGGAGCAAGCCCAAGCCCGAGGGCGAGGCTGGTGCGGAGGGTGCGCATGCTCGCAAGACGGATCTCGAGCTGCAGCGCGAGATGAAGGAGAAGCTCAAGAGCTTCCTGGTGCACACCGAGCTGCTTCCCAAGGAGCTGCTCTTTGTCGGTCGATCCATGCGCATCATCCAGGCCAACAATCAGGTGCTCGGCTCGCCCGTCAATCGACTCAACATCCTCGCAAAGCATGCGGCAGCTGCCCTCATCACGCATACCGAGACGCCGTCGCTGTATCGTGTCCTGCGTCCTGTCCGCACCAAGCTACCTTCATCCAAGGGAGGCTCGGACATGACGTCGTCGAGTATGGCCCAGAGATTCGCCGCATGGATCAAGGATCGTCTCGACTTTGTGCGGTTCCGAACCACACTGCTTGTGCTGGATCTGGCGTTTGTGGGATCGAGCCTTTCGCACTGGTTGGGCTTCCTGATGCGCGCCCCACGCTCGGCACTGCTCGGCAAATCCGACCCCAACGCACGCGGCTTCGAAGACGACCTCGAACAGAGCATGCGCCAAATGGCACGCGACGAATTCGGCGTGGAACTCGACGAAGGCGCTTTCGTCGGATAGATCACATCCCCACCCCCCACACACATTCATACACATCTTGCTAAACCAAATGCGTGGGTGCTAAAATTGCATGAGAAAACGGTACGAATCCTGTCATCGTGCTGGAAAGGGGGGAGGCTAGGAAAGAACCGGGGTATAAACGAGTGCGTCTGGGGGGGATCTCACCAAGCAGGTCCACCCTGCATGGGCGGGATATGGTGCGGGAAATGGCCAAAATGCTGCTGCTGCTGTTGCTGTTGGGCATAGTTGAACGCCCCCGACGCCTGTTGCTGTTGCTGCTGCATCTGCGTATCGAACATCTGCGCGTTCGGATTGGGCGACGCGTTCTGGTTCCACGCCGCACCGTTCGCGTCTACCGCAAGGATACCCGCGTGCGCCCCAGGCTGTGCATAGCCCAGGTTCAGACTCGCATTGCCGGACCCAGTGTCGCCGTAGAACGCAGCGTTGCCGTAGCCGGTGAACTCGGACGACCCAACGTGCGTATACTGCTGCTGATGCTGCTGATGCTGATGCTGATGCTGCTGGTGCTGCTGGTGTACGGCATCGTCGCTGAAGCTCTGATGCATTGCGGGAGGCGGCATAGGAGTGTTGTCCGCAGCGCCCGACCCGGCACTGTTGGCCGCTGAGGATCCCGCCGAGCCTGCAGCCGCGCCTGCAGCCGCGCCAGTGTCGGCATAGCTCGCCGTGCCGCCCGCGGTGACCTTGCGAGGACGTCCGCGGCCGCGCTTGGCGGTGGGGTTGGAGGCGGTGTCGTCGTCGCCAGCACCCGAGGCGCCGGCTGCGGAGGTGGAGGCGCTGGACGACTTGCTCGCCGAGTTGGTGCGCGGGCGCTTGCGGTTCTGCGCCGCGCGCTTGTTGGAGCTGGTCTGCGACTCGGACGGCGAGAGGGCGTCGTCGGCATCGCTGGCATCGTCGCCTGACTCGTCGTTGCCGCTCTCGCTGGCTCCGTTGGGCGGATCGGGCGCGTTCAAACACGCCTGGATGAGGTTGCGGCCCTCGGCCTGCGTGACGAGCGCCTGCAACTTGGGCGTGGTGAAGGTGTAGACGAGCCCTGTCTGAGACACGACGAGCAGCAGCACCTGTGTACCCGTGAGCGTGGCGAGCTCGTAGGCCTTTTTCATGATGCCCGCCTTGCGCTTGCTGAAGGTGATGTGCCTGCGTGCGTCGTCCTCGATGAACTCGATCTTGATCTTGCGGCGACCGGTCTTGAGGTCGCGCTCGCCCTTGGCTTCGGAGCGTGCGCGCTTGCCCTTCTTCTTGCCCTTGCCGTCGTCCGAGTCGCCATCGTCGTCATCGCCCTCCTCGTCGTCTTCCTCGTCCTGGTTTTCAAAGTCGGCAGCCGCAGCGGTGAAGCCGGCAGCGAGATCAAAGTTGCCCGAGCCGTCTGCACTGGCGTTGGCAAGCTGGACGGTGCCAAACGGCACATCGTATACAGGGCTTTCGCTGGTCGACGCTGATTGGCGCACGCCAACTACACCGTTGGACGTGTTTGCCATTGTGAAATGATGTGAGCCGAGGCGGCTGCGGTCCGGAGCGTTGGAAAGTCGACTCGAGCCGGAGTTGGGAGGAGGTTGATGGGCGAAGATGAGAAAGTCCCCGG